TTGAAACAAGGAGTAAAACTGTGCGTATTTTCGCTAGACTGTCGTTAAGGGTTGGATCGGGCTACAAAAACAGAAACTACATCGCTAGACTGTCGCCCATCCTTCGATCGAGTCGCTGAGCCCTCGCTTAAGCGACAGGGTTATACGGGAATTTTTTATTTCGCGTTTTAAAGACTTTTTTACCGGCCCATCTGTTTTCTACCCTACCTATATATATATTCTAAAGCCACAAAGCGAGAATTCATAAGGTTGAACATTGAGCAAACACTGTCCTTTCATATTCTCTTAATCCAAATACCAAAAATCAAACTTCCTACATATTTGTTAAAGGTGCTGAATATCGATGAAGGCAGCTGGAGTTACAGTCTGTGAAGAACGGGTTGTTCTTCGTGATCCACAAGTGATAGGCGATTCTATCAAACTAAGGGCTGCTGCAGGATAGCGTTAGTTATTACAGCTGGAAGTGGTGTAGGAGCACAGAATCCAGGAAAGCTGTCAAAATTGCAGTCAGAAGATCAGTGCGTGTCGTCGTCTAGTCTGGTAGACTGCAAGTCACAACTCGTTTATAGTGGATTGTTGACTGGCAAAGTGTCCGGAGTTTTACCCCATTGGGGTTTCTCTGTGATCATTCTTGTGTTTTTACTGCTTTACTTATTGATTATATGAACTGCGGTATTCAAATATAGGATTAAATTGACTTGAATGAATAGCCATCTAGAGATAATTAATTGATGATTTGTTGCTAATTAATTAATAATTTTAATTNTTCCGCATATAATACCTATTCACCCATTCTAGGTGTTGTTAGAGTCGAACTGCGTAAATTTCAATATTTCATGAAGACATTATGTCCAGGCTAAAGACTGAATGGATCTACTGAGCTCAAAAAGAACACCAGCCACGTACCGTTCCTAGCTATGTCCACGAGCCCAGTCGAAAAAAAAAAGCTCGGGCTCGACTCGAGTTTTTTTAGATCCGAGCCTAGCCGAGCTGAGTAAAGCCCAGAAAAAAAAATGAGGCTCGGCCCGTGCTTTCGACCAGAGCCTTAGCGGATCGAGCCGGCTCGAGTTTTTTTTATTGAATTGCTACTTCTAAAAATAGCAGGTATCAAGGCAGCAAGCTTGCTGCCTGCAACAGGCAGCTAAAAATAGCTGCCTGTAAAGGTAGCTCTTTTAAAAAAAATTTAATTTTAATTTTTTTTATTGGGGCAGGCTCGCTCGGGCTCGAGCTCGAGCCGACATCCCAAAATGGCGCTCGTTGTAACTGAGCCCAAACCGGGTCCAGCTCGAGCTTTTTCCTGGTCGAGCCCGAGCCGTTGAGCTTTTTTGCCATCCCTAACCGTTCCCATTAGATTTGAAATAACTGATGTTTAGACTCAACTAACACTTAGAAGTGATGAATAAATGTATAATGTGGAATTAAAAATAACAAATAAGAATAAGTAGCAAGTCACATATTATTGTCTCTAAATGATTAAATTTAATCCAATTAAACCATAATTGTCAATCATGTTATATAGATCAAAGCATAAAAGTAAAATTAACACCAAATATGGTAATGAAGAACAACCCTTGAAGAACTCTTCAAAAGGATAAAAAAAACTCCGGACAAACCTTACTAAAACGATTCACTAGAAAAAGATAATTTATCCGAACACAATTAAATTTTAGCATATTCTAACCACCCAACCTATAAATCACCAAAAGAACTCTTCAATTGTGCCTCATGTACTTTTTAGGAACTCTAGGCTTCTTTTCCGTTCGTGTGGATCATCAAGAACGAACCTCGTTCTTCTCCAACTGGAACTTCAGTCGCCTCTCCCCAGCTTCAGATTTCTGAAAGATTATTGGTTAATGATTTGATTTTTGGTATTTGATCTTTGGATCTGTTGTATTTTGATCTTGTGGTTGAGACAGGGGATTTATAGAATATATATTTGGGACGGTAAAAACTGTAGAAATTGCAAACTACGGTTTAATTGGATAACATCACCACTCAAGCGCTGGGCTCACAGATAGTGGGCGGTGGCTCTTCCGCTCGAGCACTGGATGCACAGACAGCAAGCAGTGAATTACTGCAAAAATCGCTCGAGCGGTGCCTAAGCGTGAAGTGGCGATTTTACGATGACTTTTTCTCCTTGTTCAGTCTTTGACTCATTCAAGACATACACCCAACCCCTGACTCTTTGATCTTAATTACAACACAATAAACTATAATTTTGGACACGGAACAAGCCAATATAATTTGTACCAAACACGATCCCTTTACAAACATATAAAAGTAGAAAATTTGGGTTATGCGGCAAGTACATGGACATTTTTCACAAGTCCCTGTCAGGCAACACAGGGTGGGACCCTAGTTATTATTTTTATTATTTTAACACACGTGGGGCCCACCCTTTGTGAGGGACATGTAAGTCTCATGTGAAAAAAATCCTCGATACTCAAGGATTTATCCAGAAAATTTATTCTCGTCATTGGTTTAAAAACAAATTTTTAGTATAGTTTGATAAAAGTTTATGAAATGTGTATTTGAAAAGTCGATAAAAGTTGTGAGTTTTGTAAAATTATTTTAATTTATGGTGTGTTTGAGCCACATTGTTTTGAAATAATCTATTTTTGAATAGTAGATTGAAGGAGAATGTGTGATTAAAAAAGAAAAAAAAATTATTAATGTAATGAAAAATATTATTTTATTAAAAAATATGTGATTGAAAATTAATAGAACAATGAGAATGAAAATTTTAATGTGGCTCAAAAATGATCTTAGATTTTTATCAAAATTTTATGCCAACACCAATCAGGCACGGGCACATTGTCGTATATTCAAGAAAAAGAGAGAGAGAGAGGATGTTGAACTTCATCTATATGCTTATGAGTCCAAATTACATGAATATTATTGAATTTAACGTGGCTCAAACATGATCTTAGATTTTTTTCAAATTTTATGCCAACACCAATCAGGCACGGGCCCATTCTCGGATATTCAAGAAAAAAAACAAAAAAGAGAGAGTGTGGACGTTGAACTTCATCTATATGCTTATGAGTCTAAATTACATGAATATTATTGATTTAGATAACCCCCCCCCCTTCTCTCTAGCTTACCAAAATATACAGAGCAGAAATGGCCTCAACAGCCCCTGTGCTCTCACAGTCTCCTGTAGCAGCTCCTACTCAACCATCACAACTTACGTCCATCAAAAAACTTGCAGAAACTCCCAATCTCAACTTCATACCTTCAAACTATGCTTATTACAACGATCCCCATGAAACCTCTGCTACAGAATCTCAAGATTCAATCCCCACTATTGATATTTCTCTACTCACCTCAGCAAACCCAGATAAAAAGTCCAAAGCAATACTAGCCCTGACCAAAGCCTGTCGAGAATGGGGTTTTTTCATGGTACGCAATTATAGTAATATATATTCTTGTTAACTGCTATAACCTTCCGGAGCAATTCTTTTCTGGTGCAGGTGATAAATCATGGAATACCAGAATCGCTGATGACGGCAATGTTGGATGTGAGTAATGAATTCTTCAATCTGCCAGAAGAAGAGAAGCCGAAATTCGAACCCAAAGATGTGTTGGAGCCAGTCAGGTATGGCACAAGCTTTAATACAGCAAAAGAGAAGGTATTCTGCTGGAGGGATTTCTTGAAAGTTTTTGTGCATCCTGAGTTTCACTGCCCTCATAAACCCACTGCTCTCAGGTATATAATATAGGACCATGCTACACTCACAAAATGTTTTACAGCGAGTTGGTAAAACATTTTGTAAGACATTAGGTACATCTAGATTTATCCTATAATATAATTGTTGATTTCCATTATTTTCTTAACTATTAGTACATCATACCATTATAGATGATTCTGAAGAACAAATCTGAGTAAATGAACGCTCAATTTGATATTTCTTGAAAACTGGTGAATAGCACTGATGCAACCACTCTTTGGGTAAACGAAGAACAGCAAATGGGCCAGTTGAGAAGAAAGTGGACTGGGGTCCCCCTGTATTATAAGAGAGAGGGAGAGGGAGAGGGAGAGGGAGAGAGGTGTCAAACTTATCTAAAGAGGGGGAGATTTTCCAAACTGACCTTGCCAATTGGATTTTGGGTTTGTAATTTTTGTTCAACAGTCTATTTTACCCTTAATGAAATATCTTTCTTTATTGGAAGACATATTCTTCCTTTATAAATAGTTTTATAGATTAGTCTTTTATATTTAAACAAATCCATTCTTTGAACTTAATAAATTAGTATAATCTTTAATTTTCTATTCATATTCTGCAATTAGTCTTTTATTTTCTTCAGATGCTCTATTTTTATTTTTTAGTTGATATTTAATATCTTTTATCTTTTCTAACACTCTTTCTATCAAATTATCTAATCTTTTAATTGTATACCCTGACATTTTTAGATAATATAATAAAACAATAGTAGTTTAAACATCATAAATAATTTTAAAGGTTAGTATATCTTTTTTCTTGAATTTTATTATATAATTTCATTCTAATTTGTAATATGTTAGAATAATCTTCAACATATCTTTTTACATTTCTTCCATCCTATTAAGTTCTTCAGTCGATATGTTTAAATCTTCTAATTGAGAACCTAATTAAGAAGTAAATTTTATTTCATCTAACATTATATCTAACAAATTATCTAATCCTTTAATTGTATATCAGACATATCAGTATAAATCTAAATAT